GACATTCCTCCAGCTGATTATCATCTTTCCAAAAAATCATACCGTTGTCAACACATACATCTATCATCTCAGAAGGTAGACCAAGACTAAAAATCAACTTCTGTATTTCATAGTATGTTGCCGCTGCCAAGTTATCCTCCGGTAGATACTCTCTCAGAAGATCAGTCCAATCATCCATGCAAACCTCAGCCAGGTTATGATCTGTTTTAATTGACATCATCCTCGCTGCCAACGATAATTTAGACAGGCCTTCTCTACATCCTTCGTAGATTGGCTGATTAGCATTGTCTAACAAATCATAAAATCGTTTGGCATCTACATTAGGTTCCTCAACAGCATTACCAGTATGTGTTTCATGAAATGCATCAGTCACCATTTCATGCATCCTATCATGATCTACACTTTGATCAGAATGACTGATTAGGCTGATGACCATAATTCGATTCATCAAAATCAACATGACTTTGATAATTACTACTACTACCAGCATTCCGATGAGTATTACTGCCATATCCTTCTCCATGTTAGATACCAAACAAAATATTGCGGCATAAACCCTCTATTTAATAAATGCGTCAACATGGTTTTGGTTAGTGTATACCTCGTATTCTTGCATTTCAAACAAGGACAAAACATCTTCCCACTATCTTTCGTTCTCTCCATATTTGTAGCCTGATACATAAATATTTCTAACCCGTTCTTGAACTCTTCTGTCAACGCCCCATCTGAATCTTTACGCATATACATCCAACTTCTTAGCTCGTATATAGATATCTTGAAATAAACTCAAAATACTATCTCTTTTTATTGATTAGACAATAAAGGAGCTGGTCTCTTGTGTCATGTCTAGCCACGTGAATGGAGTAAATTAACCTTTTAATATTATTATTTCCTTTTTTCAAAGTAAATAACTCCTAATTCGGGTTTCCAGCAATGGACAACCCAATATATAAGGATTTACAACACTATATTAAAATTTAAGAGACCTACAATGGGTCTCCAGGATGATGATGCTCTTATGTTTGAATGATGATGTGTTGTGATTGAAAGAAGGAATGAAGATCTATTTATAGGAAAATTTTAGGCTTTACAACGCTTTTACGACGATTTTACATTCAACAACAATATTACGACGATTTTACGACGATTATACGATAAAATCTTTCATCTACATTAGTTAGGTAAACATGTTTTAAATGTTCTTCACCTAACTTCTTTGTCGACGTAAAATCGTCGTAATGTTTACATCGAAATCCAGTCGTCGTATATTCGTCGTAATTTTACATCTAATTTACGACGCTTTTGCATTTAATAGCAAATCTCTCGTTATCGATGTATATTCGTCGTAAATTTTACGTCGAAGTTACGACGATATTTTTATACGACGATTTTACGACGGTTTTTTAATTTGACGTAACATCGTCGTAAAATCGTTGTAAGTTTGCGACGACTTTAAAACCGTCGTAATAGACCGTTGGAAAATGATTGTTTCTTGTAGTGTTCATATGAGGTGTGCATATAAAATAATAATACGAAGCATTGATAATATTAAAGTATATAAACGGCATCGATAATATTAAAACACATAAACGCACATATAAATTATTTAAGAGAAATGGATAAAAAATGCCTCAAAACACTTACAGTTCACAAAGAAAGTCCCATAGGTGGGAAGCTACCAAACATAGCACTCATTAAAAGAAAAAATAATATATTTATCTGTGACATCTAAGGCCATAAAAACATAGTCTTCCTCGTCTCTCTCATGCTCTCCTTCGTCTCCTCTGCAAACACCATGGAATCATCACTCTCCAAATCTCCACCAAAATCAACAAAAATTCTTTCCGGTAGACTCGTCTCCAAGTTCGAGTAGGTTCTATCTCTGATCGCCGTCTGATTACTCGATTCCGAGCTACTTCTCGAACGGATTGTGTTCCTCTGAGGATGGTTCCTCTGAATTTGCTTCTCCTCTGTTCGATTGGACAATGACAACGACGAAGCAATACAACATTAGTCATGTTGTTGCTGATGGTTTGGATCTTTACGAGAGTATTCATCGTTTGGACATCAGAGACGAAGAAGAAGAGATCCAACATTTTACTGGAAATCAACTGAGCAATTTGGGAATTTATGAACCTAATGATGGTGGAAATCGATTTGGTGCTGATAAACCTTCACTGTTCCTAAATCAAAAGTGGTCTATTGTTAACACAAAATTAACATATACTCTAGCTTTGGTTACATACCCTTTCTCATGACTCTGGCTTGTAAGAATTGCTGCATTTACTTCACTTGATGTGTTAAGGCGATGGGATATGTCAAGAAGCTCTTTGACCGGAGAGTTAGGGGCATCTTCAAAAACAAGCAAAACTACAGTTTTTTCAAACTCTCCCAGAAAAGCGTGCTGCTGAATAAATTAAACAATTGTAAGAATGTTGTATCAGCATCAGCAAGAAGAGTAAAAACAGGTATTTGTGCTAGGGCTGGGCAAAATATCCGTCATATTTGATTCGATCCGTTATTCGTCTCGATTCGATCCGAAAAATCCGGATATCCGTAATTTTACGAAGCAAAGCAAATAGTAAAATTTAATATCCGTTAAAAACGGAGCAAATCACAAATACTAAAAAAAAATAAGACGGATATCCGCTCCGCTCCAATATAAATATATATGTATATATAGATAGATAATAATTCATATAAAGTGTATATTTTTTTTTTTTTGGTCGACCATATAAAGTGTATAATTATTATATATAAATGTAATTTTTGTGAGTTTTGTTTATAAATTTGATTATTATAAATATTAAAACTTAATAAGTTAAGAAAAAAATATTTTTTTTTAAAGAAAATATTGTCATTTTAGCTAAATTTTGAATTTTTTTAATTTTTATTTTAAAAATATTATTATTTAAATATTTTTATGGGACGGATCGGATATCCAGCAAATATTTAGATTTTTGGCGGATATCCGAAAAACGGATATTCAAATAATTACGGAGTAGATACAGATCGGATAAATGATTATGCAGTCAATAAGCAATATATAGATGCTTCACATGTAAAACGCCATCTTCCAAAACAAATAAACAATCAATACGCAATATATACAGACTTACGTTTTCTTCTCCACATGACAATCGGATTTATTCTGTCACTAAAATGATGGTTCGAAGTAAGACCTTACTAATGCAAACTCATCAAAAAGGAGAATTAAAACATACTAAACACTCTCATTACACCTTAATCAAGCGCTACTGAAATCTATATCATAAGTTACTTCATGGAAATCATCTTCCACAAACAAGTATCTGAAAATATCAAAGTAAGTTAATCACGTGATGCTTCTCACACTGTTTACAGGTGAAGCAAGGTACATAAGTGAGAGTACCTCCAGTATCTACAATTGAAGCAAATAATAATTGGTTAACATACGATTTAGGAGAGCAATCCTAAATTTGTAAGACTCTTTCCTAAAAGTTCAAGAATTCTTCCTAAATTCTAAATTTAGGAATCATTTATAAATTTTTAGAAAATATTCAAACAAATTTCAGAACGTCTACCTAAATAATTAAAGAGAATAACTCTTTATCTTCAAATATTTAGGAATGGATTCCTAAATGTATAAGAATTTTTACTAATAAAACTTTAAGATGTTTTTTAGGGGGTCAATGAAAATCTTTAACAAAATTAAAAAGTTTACAAAGAACCTATTGGAAAGTTTTTCTAACCCTTTGGAAAACCAACATTTAGAAGTCTTTCAACCTATTTAAGAAGACATTCCAAAATTTAGGAAGGTGTTTTAAAAGTTAATGAATGCTTTCTTCATGGTTTTCTTGAATGGTTTAGGAATGTATTTTTAGAATTTTAAAAGCATTGGAAACTTTAAGAGGTTTACCAAGCATTACTAATGTTTAAGAAAGTCATTGTAAACATTTAGGAACGTTTTCCTGAATATTAGAGGAGTCTGAAACATTTAGGAACGTTTTCCTGAATAAAGAAATTTATGAAAGCTTGCTTGAAGATTTATGAATGTGTTTTAAGATTTTAGGTCCTCTGAAAAATTAAGAGGTTTACAAAGCTTTTTGAATGTTTTAGGATACCTTTTTAAACATTTAAGTAGCTTTGTAAACGTTTAGGAATGCTATCCTAAATGTTAAGTAAATCTTACTAAAATTTTTTAATATACAAATACTTGTCAAACGGTTTATGAATGCTTGCTAAACGTTTAGGAAGTTCCATTACATACAGGTTTACAAGCCTTACTAATGTTTTAGAAAGCTTTTCTAACGTTTTAAGAAGAGATCCTAAACATCTAGGATGTTTTTCTAAACGTTTACACTGCAAGAAAATGTCATATATAGAGCGTCGGAAAAAAGCTATTGTACGATAGCATAGTGTCATGATAAACGCTCCATCTTGGCCCGTGATAATAGGTCCAGCACTTCATATAGCGTTTTATGCTTATGCTACGTTATAATTTTTTTCAATAGCGATTTTTGTTTTGCAATCGTTTAGTATACAATAGCAATTACAATTTGTTATTATTTAACTATTCACAGCATTGTAGTACGTTACTGTTAATGAATTTTTTTGTAAATTTTCCACAAATTTTTGGCGGGTTTTTCATAATTCGGTTGTTTTATTTGTACCTATTATCTCTGTCATAATTTGCTAATCTGAGAAACATCATTGCATTAAGGAAACCATCAATCGAGAGACAAAATAATTTTAAAGCCAAAGAAATCTCATCTCATATAGCAAACCGTCAAGTACACAACCATTATTCCACTTGCCAACAAGTTCTAATGGCCAACACAATCCAACATAAGAGAACTTCAGGTTCAAATAAAAACAATGTTCTCATTAGACCAAGCGACTGTAGTACCTAATGCATCAGCAACAAACTCGAATTCTGAGGTTGGTCTCCATACTCGTGCATCCCCAATCTTACAGACATCAACTCAAACCTTACTGGCATTTGGACCCAATGGAACTAAGTGGACTGTGTCTGTTGGATTGGTTGAACAAACTCGGCCTTCTGCAACTGTTTTTCCCGATCCAAAGCAATCTACGAGTAAGCATTTCTTCTTAGACGGGGGGGGGGCTATTGTTTGAGCTGTTACTTGTACTCTACAAAAGAAAATCCAGACATCTCATCACAATAACCCAAATATACAACACATTATGTACAATCATCTCAGATCATCACAATCACATAAGATTAGGTGTACAGTTTTACCTTTTGTGTTACTTTTGTAGAGGGCACTGCTCCTTTAGAACACGAGGCTCCTGCTCCTTTAGAAGCAAATGCTCTTGCTCCATTCTGAAGCGATGGTTCTTGTCTTCCTGGTACTTTAGGATCTGATTCGCTTTCAGATAATTCGTCAACAGTTGCCTGTAGATTATCCATTAGGACCTTAGTAATTGGCCAAGCTATGTTATGAAACAGGGCATCACCCGTCACAGTCATGTCTTCACTTGGTCGCCATAGATAAGCCTCTTTGTTATTTACTGTGTCAATCTTCACAATTTTCGCATTTGGTCCTAAAGGAATGCCATTGACTAACTGTTTTGCGTCAGTTGAAGTCATATGTCCCTCAGCAATTACTTGATCACCGAAATTCCAATCAAGAATCTGGATTCTATCCACCAACACATTTGTTGCCTAACGAATCATGCCAAAACAAATTTCATGGTTACATAAATAATTCATAAGATTGTCTATTTACAACATGGGAATTATATCATAAACTTACCGAGCCAGCAGTTTTGTTTACAGTTGGAGAGTCTATATTGTCCAGAATGAGCTTATTGAATGGCCAGGCAATTTTAGTTCCCACAGCTTGGCCAATTAAGGTGACAGTTGTTGTAGGCCTCCATACATATGCCTCTTTATCTGATGCGAATTTGACAACTACAGCTGCTGCATTAGGACCAATAGGAATACGGCCAATCTTGTATGTTGGTTCAGTAGAGCATATTTCTCCGTCAGCAACAACAATCTCTTCATCAGAATACCACTCAAGTAGCTGACACCTAGGTCCAAAGTTGCTTTTATCAGTGGCGTCTGAATTTGAACCATAATCCTGTTGTTTTCAAAAATAAAAAACGCATTCAGATAATATTATTTTCAACATTACATATTAGCACGAGAGGAACAACTCATTCCAATATTCACTTTACCTTTTTACCGGCAGTTAAGTCACGAACTATATGTTTCAAGTCAGCAATCTCGTGAACCAGTTCTGCCTGTCTAGCCTCAATCTTCTGCACATGTGCATCTCTAGCCTGTAGGAATGCTAGCTTGGAAGCAGTAATCCCTCTGCCCATTCCTCTTACTCGTCCACTCTTATCTTTCCCTAGAATTTGACTCACAGCATCTTCTTTAATACTACCATTTGAGTTTGACTCTATCTCACTATCAAGTGATTTAATTTGTTCCTGAAATAAAATTATGTACATGTGATCAATATACATTATCAAGTTTAACCAACTTAAGTGTTTTATAACTTCTTACAATGGTTTCTTCAAACTCTGGCCTCACAGCTCTACCATCCGCATGGGTATGTCCAGCTATCCATATTTTGCTTCTAGTAACCTTAGACGGGTCAGATGCCTTTTTCTTCTACAAGAACCAAAATAATTATTAAAAGAAGTAATCACGGTTAATATTTTCTACTATAACTCATCACTGCAATACATTACACGAACAGACATACCAAGTCATGAGCAAGTCGAACCATTCCTTTGCGACTGGTCGTGTGTGGAATCTGATTATTCCTCAAAGCCCTGAACTGATCACTTCGTACCTATTAAATTATTCTAAATATTAATGTAACAAATTCCATAAACCAAACATGTGATATACTTGCAATATTTAAACATAAATCAACCTTGAAAGAATGGCCAGTCCTACTCTTCACCCAGTTTATCCAGGCTGCATCATTGTGAATGTTGTTTGGTTTCAACTTTCGTATAGTATCCATGCTCTTTGTAGAACGCAGTTTACTTACTACCCTAGACTTAGAAGCCCTCCAAACGCACCCCATTTGCCTGAATACACAACTCTTTTGCCAATCTTCCGTCAAATTGAATCTCCCCTACAATAATTTCTCAGTGTTATACCAACTCAAAGCAATCATAAAGTAATTAAAAAGTAACATAGAAAATAACTTTTGTACCTGAATCTCTTCCCACATTGTATCCTTTGTCTTATCATCAAGGCGCCTCCAATCGTCTAGAAGTACCGGTACATGCTCCCTCACTAGAGGTCCAAGAAAAGAGGAAAGGGTGATTGATCCTTTCCCCACATGTTCACCGAGGCTGTTAAACTCAACTTCCACTTTCTCTTCATGGCTTTTTAGCCACTTTACTCATCCTGGTTGGTCCTCTAGTTCTCCTCTTCTTCTTTGACTGTTCTGTTAAACATTCTTCACCAGAATTAGTAACAGTTTCATCTTCTTCGCCCTCTTTGTCTTCTCTATTTTTGTCAGCTTCCATTTCTTCTCCATTATGTTCAGCGTCTATTTCTTCTCTGTTTTTCGTCAGTCTCTTGCTCTTCTCCACGTAGTGGAGCTTCTTGCTCTGCTTCTGGTTCATCCGGTTGGTCTGATGGTGGTTCAGCTTGTGGTTTAGCAGCTTCTTCTTGTTCGGCTTGTTCCTTCAGTTGTCCAGGTTTCCTTCCTCTTTTGTTCGTTCTCACCTCCAAAGGTGTTACCTCAATGCCAAGTTGACACTTGCTGCGTCTTGGTTCTTTAGGACTGGTTACTTTAGTCATGTTTCTGTAAACAAAACAAATTAGAAGGAATTACTTAGTAAAATCTGAACCCATTCCTGCTACTCATATCTATACTGTACTTAAGATCCACATTTCCTATCTATAAAAATATATTATCTACTTATCCTAGTTCTAATAATATGCTCACTACTAATCCTTTAGGAAGACCCCATCGCAATCTTCTCTAACACAGTAACTCTCATCATCAGAATCTTGATTCCACAACTCGTCTTCTATATGCTGAGTGGATAGTGGTGGTGCAACATTCGCTTCTTCAGACTCCAACTCATGATATCCCCTTGGTGGCGCCTTCATAACTACATACCAAGGTGAGGATTCATCTTCGCGGGAAAAGAAAACTTGTTTTGCTTGAGCCGGTATAATATAGGGATCTTGGCGAAATGCGGATTGGTTTATATGCAGGTTGACAAGGGTGAATCCATCTTCTTCCTTCACACCATTCCCTTTGTTGGCCCACCTACACTTGGAGAGTGGGATTTGAAACATGTGGTAGTCCAGCAAAATTATTTGTTCTATAACTCCATAGTACGCAACAATGTCCGCCATTTGATTTGTATCTCGGGCACTAGAACGACACATGGTGAAAGTTTCATAGGACCTCCACTGTTCTGCGTCTTCCGCTTTAGATCATTGGTATGAAAGCGATGTCCATTAACTATGTAACCCTTAAACGTCTGAGCTTCATGTCTGGGTCCAAAAGCTAACCACCTTAACTTCTTAGAATGGTCCTTTGAGTTACTTGGGATATATTGACAACAAAACAGCATAAAACTAGTATTCAGAGATCCTTTTGGTTTTAAAAGTATAAAGTGGTAATATATATTTAGCCGTATCTAAGATCATACCTTCTCCTTAACCCATTGTGTAAACCTTTCCCCATGCAATTTCCATAAGAGAGTTTCATTCCTGGCGCATCGCACATATGTAGCTTGTAATTCTTCCAAGTGCAATCTATATTGAAAATGTATATCATGAAAGTGTGAAAATATGTCAAAGTGAAATATTACTGTTAAACGAAAAGGTTGTCATACTTACTCAACATACGGAGTAAACATTTCTGTGTTCATGAGAACATATCTATGAGCTATCTCCTGCTCTTTATCTGTCAGTACAACTCGTTTAGCCTTGTTAATAGGACGACCTTCAAGGATGTGCTCTTCTGGTTCAAGATCTGCATTACGGTTTGCAGGTTGAAGAACTGGTACAAATGACTTTAAAAACTCCAAACAGAAGGCAATGCATTCTCCTTCCATGTATCCCTCAGCCATACAAGCTTCTGGCCTAGCATAGTTTTTAACATATGCCTTGAGTGTTTTCATGTACCTACATTGCAAACAGATAACATATTAGTAAGTATCAATTTAAATCACATCAAATAATTAAAAAGATTTTAAAAAACATTAGTCAGTACCTCTCAAAGGGATACATCCATCTAAAATGGACCGGCCAACCCAAACGTGTCTCCCTTGCTAGATGAACAGGAAGGTGGAACATGATATCAAACATGGAAGGAGGAAATAACCTCTCCAATTGGCACAATGTCTCCACAACCTCAGCCTCCAATGATATAAGCTTCTCCGGGTCTATTACACGCTGACACAATCTATTGAAGAAGTTGCAAATTCTAGTTACCGCAATCCTAGGACCAGTTGGTGATCATGAGACTTCAACCCACCAATTGTAGGAGGATCAACTGAAACACAGTTGGCTATATTCGCACAGTAGCCATCTGGTCCTCTGAACTCAGACAATCTCTTGCAGAATTTCTTTTTTTCTTCCTTTGACAGCCAATATGAAGCAGGTGGTAAGTAGTTTCTCTTCCCACGTACTTGTGCGTGTAATGATGCCCGAATACCCATATCTTGAAAATCTTGTCTTGCCTTTAATCCATCTTTTGATTTAGCACTGTGCATGAGAAGGGACATTATGGCATCAGACACGTTCTTCTCAACATGCATTACGTCGATGTTGTGTCGCACAGGCATATACTAAGACAAGGAAACAAAGATCTAAGTTAGACAATTATAAATTAATGGAAGTGATCTATGTAGTAAAATTTATATAATATTAATCTTACCTTCCAGTAAGGTAGCTCGAAGAAAATAGACCGCTTCTTCCACCTCCATAGATGACTGTCTTCATCATATTCATCTTCTGAAAGTTCATCATCTTCAATCACATCAGGCCTGTTCCTATCTAAAGCTTTACCAAAGGAATTCCTAAAGTCTTTCAATTGGTCAAATATCTCAACCCCTGTTTGAATTCTACGTGCATTCCTTTCTTCAACTGTGTTGTCAAACCAACCCCTTCTGCGTCTGTACGGATGTCCAGGTCTGAGTCTTATCCTATTCCCCAAGTAGACATGTTTTCTACTAAACTGAAGCCACCTAAAAGGAGTATCCTTCCCACAAACATTACATGCTTGTTTACCTTTAACTTTACAACCTGCCAATGTCCCCAACACAGGATAGTCACTGATAGTCCATAGTAAAATAGCTCTAAGGTTGAAAGCTTGCTTTGAGAATGCGTCGTAAACATCAAGACCTTCATTCCACAAATCCTGTAGATCTTCTATCAATGGTTGAAGGTACACGTCGATGTTGTTACTCGGTGCAGATGATCCAAGTATCAACATACTGAGCATTACATTCTCGGCCTTCATACACAGTGTAGGTGACATGTTGTAGTTCACAAGCAATACCGGCCATGTAGTATACTTGGTGGTTTGAAGCGAGAAAGGGTTCATCCCATCAGTAGACAGACCAAATCTCAGATTTCTCGGATCAGCAGCAAACAGTGGCCATTTATCATTGACCTGAGCCCAAGTTAGTGAATCCACCAGATGGCAGAGATTACGGAAATCAGTACATGGACACAAAATGTTTGCAGGATCCCCCAACCTACTAGCTGACCCATAAACAAACTTTGTAGCTCCTTCCTCATACTCAAGACTAGTCCTGTAGTTCAATCAATAGGCATAACAAACTCAGTTTGAAGTAAAAACCATATAGAAAAACATAACGAAGACTTTCACTTGAACTAAAACTAAAGACCATACCTTGGAAGCCAAACCCATGACTTCTCCATGTTACACCACCACCACAGCACCACAAATGAAGGTCAAACCAATACATACATTTGTGACAACAAATTTTTATATCAGACAGTGTCGAAGTTAATAAACCGAGACAGACACAAAGTCAAAACGAGAGTTCGAGACAACAGATAATACGAGAGTACCTCTAGAAGAATAATCGAATCCAACAGTAGAAAGACACAAAATCTGCAAAAAAAAGCAAAAGAAGTCATAAAAAATTGATTTTTAAGAAAACTTGAGTTTTAATTGAAACCCCATTAACATGCAAACTCGAGTTTTCAAAATTGTGAAACAAAATCGAAGCAAACGCCCAAATATAACTTTGAAAACCCTAATTGAAACCCCAATCCGAACCCTATATGAATTTTGAGTACCAAACAAAACTTGTCTTCTTCAATCGAAATCCATACATGTTCAATACTGAGATTTGCAGAGACAAATGCTGAGCCGAGAGAGAGATTCCCGTAAGATAGAAAGAGAGAGATAGCGAGAGAGAGAGAGAGATAGCGAGAGAGAAAGAGAGAGATAGAGATTTCTCAGATCGAGATTGAGATTGAGATTTCTGTGAGAGAACAAGGGAGTGAAAGATATTTTTGTGAGAGAGAGCTCGAAACAAAAGAGAAAAAAGTTTAATGAAAATTTTGTGTGGCGCGTCTTTTTTGGCTAAGTACCCGGGAAATGAAAAAAAAATTCCGCCTAAACATAATAGAGTGTTTTAAGCACTACATATGCTATCGAAGATACTCTTGTAATAAAAACGTAACTCCCAGAAAATAAACATAGCATGTACATTTTATGAAACACTATTGCAAATAAGTCTGTATGTTAACTATAGCATTTACTTAAAGAACGCTATATAGGTATGCTATATTTATGACATTTTCTTGTAGTGTTAGGAAGACATTTATAAATGCATGTAAAGCTTTCTGAAAAATAAAGAATTTATTCCAAAAATAACAACTTAGCACTGGCTCAATTGCTCTACATCAAGATTCAATCATTCACAGAGCTTTTTTTCTTTCTTTTGTTCAACATGGAGAACCAAATATCTACAAGACCAAAGATATTTTTCTTGATATACTAGCTGCATTTCTAGCCCACCAACAAACATTATGAATTTTCTTCTTTTATGAGCTGCATCAGCATAGTTTTCTATTGGTGGGTGTTGATAGTTTCAACTTCCTGATCATCTTATTGACACGCATATTTCAGATGATAAATCTATACATACTGATGAATCTATACATACGGCAGTTCATGGACTAATGCATTTACTAATGAGCATCTTATTAGATTTTTTCATGAAGCTGTGACCCTTTCAGTGCTGGACCGATCAATTTGGATGCCCGCATTGAACTTTTTTAAATATGCCCTTTTATATTTTCTTTAAAAAATTAAATAATAAAAAAATAAAAAAAACTTCATAAAACAATCAAACTCCATAAAAAATTTATAAGAAAAGAAAAAGATCCAATAAAACATATAGTTTATTGTTGAAATATAGATTTTCTTACATTTTTCTGTGCATAATCGAGTTTTTCAACCATAACTATCTAAGTTGATAACAAAGCTAACCCATTCAATCGCTCTTATCAGCTTCAACTTCGAGAAACTTCTTTCAGCAGTGGCAACTGATACCGGAATGGTCAACAATATGGGACAAGCAATTTTTGTGTGTTTGACAACAATTCTCCATATTTTTCAAAAAATTAATCACTTCAATAGGCTTATGAACATCATCTGGTATTGATACTCGAAGAATTTTCAGTTCCATAAACAGATCAGCACCATCTATGTCTGAATGTGTACCATTCAAAAAAGAAACCTCCAAATTCGCACATGAACTCTTCAAACTATCATTGCTGGCCAATCTTAGTTTTTTTTATATCAAACAAAACCCAAAAGTTTGTTCATACTTTTGAAATTGTTCAAACCTGGACTCGAGAGAAACTAGAGCTTGATCCTAATAATTTTTTTTACAAAAATATACCCTTTTAAAGTGGATACCACAAAAAATGTGTTCTTTTAAAGTGGATGCCCATGACGGCCGTCTTCCTCGCCTGCCCCAGCCCAGATCTGGGACAAAGGTGGACTTGCACTGACGAATGCTTGAAAAACCAGCGAGTCTCTTCTTCGCTTGTGTTCATAACTCCTTGTTACATGCAACAAAAGACTAGCCTTCTCATTACATAATAAATAGATTATTGCTTCAGTTAGTACTCAAAGATGTAAAAAAATGATATAATTAAAGCAAAATTATACTCTCCAATAGGATTAACAGAGCAAAATTATACTCTCCAATAGGATTAACAGATTATTGCTTCAGTTAGTACTCAAAGATGTAGGATCTCAAACACCAGGGCCAATAAATAGAAAGCACTCATGAAAGTTTAGTATGCAACTAAAAGGATACAAGACTTGTATATCTTTTCTATTTAATATGTGCGTAAAAAAAGAGCCTCCCTTGAAGCAACTAGCTTAAGGATATAAATCATATATACATCTCCATAAGCTACTTCGTAAATTGTATAAAAGTAAACTACAGAGGATAGTAATACTGAGCAAAGCTTTATCTTACCAGTAAATACATCTCTATGATTTGCCGTAAAACAATAAATAATAAGGACACATACGAAGGAACCTTACAAGAACAAGAGACTCAAGAGGATAAGAACAACACAAAGCCAACCTATAATTTAACCAGAGAAACCGACAACTAAAAAAGAAGAGAAATTAAGACCTGTTAACTATATTTTGTTGTAAAACGGGGCGGCCTTCGATTTACGGACAGATAAACGAATCTGGCTCGGAATCATACCCGGATCTGGTCCAATCCGGCGAGTATATCCCGTATCAAGCTTTTCCACAACAAGATTTGCGGTCTTCTCTGGTCCAATTCTGCGAGTAGATCCCGTATTTGGCTTTTACACAACCAGATTTGTGGTCTTCTTAGGGATGTCCTCGTTGCACTTCAGGATTCTCACATGTCCATCGACGAAGCTGTTGTTGGGATTCTTCTTCACCGGTGCCTTCTGAGCGAAATCAGAGATGGCAGCACAAGAATGATGAAACGGCAACGACATGTTGGAGATCACGGCGATGGGAGGGAGAAAGTTTTTCTGATTGGAGATGAAGAGTGTTTTGAGTGTGTGAAATGTCAAAGAAGAATTATTTGATTAGAGATGACACATCATTTTTCTTCTTTAATAAATGCTATGTTTGGTATTCAAATATGGGGCTTGTTTTGAGAATTTTTAATTTTTTGGGGCTATATTAGAGAATTGCCCATTATTTAATCATGTGACTTCAATCACATGATCTACCATGTGAGGAGACATAACCTACCATATGATTATATAATTAAGGAGGCATAGCCTACCATAGCGATTGATTTGGGAAAAAGACATCTCTTATCTCTTTTTTTCCGACGAAAGCATGAACTTATCATCCTGGAATAATATGAACATAAACAGAAAAAAAATCTCACCTTTTCGGTGAAAGAACAAAAGGAAAGACTTTTGTGCTGATAACGTGTTGTGAATAAGAAAGAGAGAGAAGAGAAGAGATAAATGGTTGTGTCTTATTCCATGAATAATGATAGGTATTTATAGTATTACAAAGACTTGGAGAGGAAGCTAAAACCTAGAGAATAAGGAAATAGAGAATATTCTAAACCGCCTAACGATATGGACTTTATAATGAGCATCCATATTAATTATTCATAACAATATATAAATATACATCTATACTATTCCTCATCAAATCAGCCTCTTCTTTTAGTATTTGCATCCACACATTTCTTTTTATAGAAAAAAAATATTTGAAAACTGTTTTAATATAAATCCATTTTGGTATAATATTAAACTTAAATATTCATTTTATTTTACATTTAAATTTAATTCTACGAAATACAGATATTAATTTGATTATTTGAATTTCTCTACATATAAGTTAGATAGTTAGATAAAATCACAATAATCATTTGTTATTATACATTAACAAAAATAAAAACCGGATATTAAGTTAGATATAATTTTAAATATTAAAAGTTAATAAATATCTTATTATATAAAAGAGAATAATTCAAAGTTGCTAACTCACCTGATGGTAACATGTGTTAAATAAATTAATCTGATTTTGATATGCTTTTAATGAATTTCTAATTATATCTAGATAAATATATATATATATATGTATATATATATGCAAATTATGTGTAGATTAAGGAAAAAAACATAATAAAAATAAAAAATACAGTTTATAAAAAAAGAAAAACATTATTTCAGTTTAAGAGAAATTAAACAATAGATTATAAATTTACAACCAACAAAATATTTTGCTAATCTTTTTAGTTCATAAGGTACATATAAATTTTTTATTTTATATTACTCATGTTAGGTTAATGCATAAAATGGTTATTATTACATTAATATAGTTATGTAAAATATTTTTTTTAATTATTATAATCTCATTATTTTATGTTTAAATAATTTTATGATTGTTGATAACTTTATCTTTATGTATAACATATTTTTGTGATCTGATTTTTTTTTTTAATTTATATTTTGATTTTTTTTTTCATAGGTTATAAATATTAAATTATAAATCTGCATATATATATATATATATATACTTATCTAGATCAGAGAAATTATGTTAATTCATTAGCTGGTTATTGTTATATTAGTGTAGTCATGTTAGAATAATATTTCTTGAATTATTGTATTCTTATTATTTTGTATGTCAATATTTTATGATTGTTGATTATTATTATTTTTAAATTTCTGTACTATATATTTTTACGGGTGATATTTTTTTCTTTCTATTTTTCTTTATGGGTTAGAAAATGTGAAATAATAAACTCGCATATATGCGAGTATTTATTTAGTCTTATTATGAAAACACTGTTTTGAAACAAATTCAGGACAAGAAAAGTGCATCTAGTTTTTTTTCTTTTCCAGGCACTTTGTTCGAGGATTGCCCAAAATAT